TGCAGTAAAACACTGGAATCACTTCCAGAGTCCCTCAAAAACATCACCAACAGAAACAAATTTAAATATGAAATGAAACATTATTTGCTTTGTTAAATTCCTCGATTACCTCCCATTTCTCTGCAATTTTTTTTTTCTTTTCTTCTGCAGAAAAGTTCGTTGTACCAGTAGTTCGTTTATATTATTATTACACATAATTTTTTAGTCATATTTATATCTTAATCATATAGATTACCTTTTAATTTTAGTTATGTAAATAGTAATTTTCCTTTCCATTACCCATAAATTGTAAATATCTACTTGACAGTCTGGGCCATGGACTGGACTAGTCCATAAGGACTATTTCCATGGTCCACGCCGGAATTACTACTATTGTATTTTGTTTATGAGTTCTGTTATAATGGTCATTCTGGTGAAATAAAATAAATAAAAAGAAGGTAACTCTGCAGACATAGGGTGCACTGCAGGGTACTACCCTTGGACTAAAATAAGACATTCTGAAGTCCCTATGTGTGCTGCAGTGTACCTCTCAGAGTGAAATAAGATAAAGCACTAGTTTACTAAGAATACCAATTCTCAGCACATACAGAATCACATATACTCATCAATGAAGTGGCGAGACTCTGTATTGTTGCTGTTTCATTATACGATTATAATAACAGCAGTGAATCTTACCATTATTAGACTTGTAACTCTAGTGTGAATGTCAAGTGTTTTGCATGTCATATGGTGTCATGGACTTTAATGCATTCTAAAACAAATATGTCTGCTTCTATTTTCAGGTTTACTGTAGAGCTTTGTGAACCACTTCAAATCAAACAAATTGAAATAGCTAATTTTGAATTATTTTCATCAACACCAAAAACTTTGAAAGTTCAAATCAGTGATAGGTAAGTACATACTTGTACTTCATCAGTCATGGAAACTGCTATCTTCCTATCAATTTTCCCTGGAATATTCTAATATCTATTAAAACATTCAGCAATGTTTTTTTTTATTTTAGACACTTTTACTCCTAACAGTCTGCATCCCTGGACACAACCATTGTCACCAAGGGTGCTGGGTATTAAAAATTATATACAGAATACACTTTTCATTTTTCATATCATGAGACGAGGATGTCCATATTGAAATTACGTCTTTGAACTAGCTTGGTTCTGAATCTTATGGAGATAGTGCCTGTGGATGATGGGTTTTTGCGGGACAAAGACATTTTGAGAAAAGAAAAATTATTATTAAAATGGTGAATATCATTGAAGCATTCTAGGCTGGGACAGTGAATTATGTGATCATCAGCGTACAATTTAATTTCAATTAGAACACCCCCCCCCCCCCCCCATTGAATATAGTTGACAGCTAAGGATCTTCCAAGGGATATTAAAATTGGAAAATTGATAGAGAGATCAGTGATCATGATTCATTTCTTTCAGCACCCACTATAAGATATATCTTAGATTTATTATCTATAGTTAATTTTACGTTGATGATCAAGATAAATATATTATATCATCTTTATTTAATCTTCTCACATTGTCATAGTGTTTATAATAAGTAAACTATGGTATCAGTTGTTTGTCTTTCCAACACGTTTAGGTTGACACTGTTAGCAATGTTTGATTCTCAATTGTTGCTCTAAAACTGCTGGATTCACCATTCTTTTCTCTTATAGATACCAGTCAAGGGACTGGCATTATTTAGGTACTTTCCATGCAATAGATCAGCGGACACTACAGAGCTTTACTATACAAGATCAGGGGGGAATGTTTGCTAAGTATTTGAAAGTGGAAATGCTAGATTTTTTTGGTTCGGAACACTACTGCCCTCTCAGTATAATCAGGTATGTTATAGTTTCTTTGACATTTATGTGAATGAACAGACCTTTGCCTTTATGGCAAGCGATTGCTTAATCAAAATTTCATCAAGAGATAAGTCAAAAATAACTCTTTTCAAATTTCCTGAATGCCATTGTGTTAAAACAAAATTATAGTCTCTCTAAATTAAGACCATGAGGTTCATGTCAAGTGTGTGTTGTCAGATTGTCTACACTTGTATCCTGTGTTACTTCAGTTATAATCCTAAAAACTTCTAAGGACATAAATAAATAGAAAAAATTATGTCAAGAAGCTATGTCAATCTGATGTATTGTACAGTGTCTTTTTTTTTAAATATAATATATCTTATAATATATTATGTACCTCATATTTTGTATTATTCAACTAAAAAAAACTGCCAGCAATTAAATACTAAAATTAAAATAAAAGTTTATGAAAAGACATTGTCATAAAAAAGAACAAATGTAGATCTTATTTTAATACTCAGATTACAGCTACTGTGTTAAAAACACTTCTCAAAAAATCAGTGGTAGCATAGTGATTGATGGATCAGAATTGTGATCTGTAGACCTGATATCACATTGTACATAAATGTTCATCCTGGTGAAGGTGCTACAAACTACAGATGTCTTGTTTAATCTGTTCTCTAGAGTGTTTGGTACAAGCATGGAAGAAGAAATTATTCAGGAATCTGAAAGTCATGGCGCGAATGGCGATGAAGAAGGCGGTGAGTAGCCATGTTAATTTGTAGCTTTGAAGTTGTATTGTCGTCAAAATTTAGTTTTTTTAATTTTGAAGCCTTTGACATGTCAAGTACTGGTAAATGAACTACCAGTTACATGTATGGTATTTGCCAGATATCTAGTTGTGATTGAGTTTTTAGTAATTTAAGGTGTCTTCAAGTCTCCACACCACATTGTACGCTGGATTCTTTGTTTGGCGATCAAAGATGAACTACATTACAAAATCAATATTCAATGTAATGTACACACCAGACCTGTTTCCTGTATAGCCATTAGGTCGATCCTGCATTTCAAATTTATAGGATGGCTATTTTACTCATTTACCACTATTCCAAATGAACTTTGAAAATTGGAACATCTGTACCTCCTAGGTTACTTGTGTTTAGCATCTACCAGAAGCTGAATTAGAACAGCTATGCAATGTAACACAACTGACGACGTTATATAGCATTAATTCCATCTATCAATTTAAGCCTACAGCAGTCAGTGTGTTGAACATGCCGTCTGAGATCATTCAATTAGCTATTTTGTGACTATACAACTATACATTCTTTAAGATTGACTGAGAGAGCTGAATTAGTCTCTGTCTCTGAACATCTATAGTGATCTTCAAAAACCGTATAGAACGATGAAAAGATCATTAAGACCACACTTAATCAGAAAATGTTGGTTTTGCTTTGTTTTCTGTGATTTATTCTGATAGTTTTGACAGAATTACATTGCTAATACATGTACCATTCACAAAACTATGAATAATATAGCTTATTTGGAAAAATGGTAATTTCTTTGATTGAGGTGTAAAAATGTCTTCTGTGGCAGAGACTGATTCTGAACCCTCAACCATGCTACCAACGGCAGAAATCAGTCAAGGCTGAAGAATGGTGACTATAATATAAGGTTATTATACATCTTTTCCTACTAAGGATACATCATGAGAATGCCGAAATCCAACAAATTTGGAACAGAATCAGCGAACTTCTTTGTATGAAGTCCAGTCAAACCCTGGTGGCAGCCATGTTTGTTTTTATTATTAGAGGACGCTTATGCACGTAATCATTCCATATTTGGAATTCGCATTTCCTAATATGGTAGGATGAAAATACCCTGTAAAATACCGCAAAATTACGGCACGCTGTAACTTATGGCGTTACGGTGACAGATGTATAATAATGTGTAGCATATAATGGCTGTCTCATATGGCTTCATATTTGATTGCGAGTTTAAATCTGCTCATGCGTTTGAATAGTCATAAAGATTCACTAATGAATGCACATTCAAACCATCAAATATATCACATAATAGTATTTTTAATCCGAAATAACCTTTTTGATATCAAATGAGCACACATTGTAAAATGTTAGGTTTATTTACTTGAACAAAAAATTATGAATTATTATCATCAATGGACATGATGTAACATGACATATTAATTACTGTATTGATTCCACCTTGGACAAGAATTGTATAGTGGTGGTGGGGGGAGGGGGTATGGTTTCCTTTGAACCTTTATGTTATTGGTCTGTTCATTAATTTGTCACTAAATATATAAATAAATCTTGGTGAATTTGGTTTTACAGATGATGATCTTGTACCTGGTGAAGGGTTAAAGAAAGCTAATCTGTTAGATAGTGCATTAGATGCTGTCAATCATGTTGTAAAACGTGCTGCAAAAGCATTATTGGGATCAGAAGATGCACGGCCATCTGATTGTACAGGTCAGTATCACTAAATTTACATACTGTAAAATGACTAATTTTCACTGGGTTTAAATTTCACTGATTTACCATTTCAGGCATATTCAGTAGGTTTTAAATTCACGGTTTCGTCATTTAGATAATGTGTTCTATGCTAAATTTTACATATTCACTGTGTTTTAATTTAGCGCATTTTTCCAGTCAGCGAAATAAGCTAAATTAAAACCCAGTGAATAATTACCCCCTTTACAGTATATGTCTTCATTTTTTAGTGAACTGGCACCCACCCTCCCTATCTCTCCCACATATAATAACACTACTATCGAATAAAACATAAAAAAAAAACAGTTATCACCTATTCCCTGGCCAGTCCGTTGTACCCACTAGCAAAAAAATTCTTTTGCTGTAGGAAGATTTGATAAAAACGAATGATTCAAAACAACAATTTTGTATGATTGTGCTGTTATTTTATGCTCCAAAATCACAGACTATAATTTTGTATTTGTCTGTTCATCTCAAGCAATTTCTCATGCTGTGACCGATCATATTCCATGTGTACATTGATTTTTGATAAAATATGGCCATTTTATATTTTATTTTGGTTCTCATATTTGCTTAATTCTAATATTTAAATGCATCTAGAACTGTTTCTCGCAGATCAATGGCGATTTTGTACAAACTTTGTATGATTAAATGGGATCATCTATATTGGGTTATACAGGTGCATGTCATATTTTTTTTTAGTCCCCGTTCGGACACAGTCCGAAAACGGGGACTTATGTTTTGACCTCCGTGTGTCCGTGCGTGCGTCTGTGCGTTTGTCCGGACCTGTATCTTAGAAATGCCTGGACCAATCACAATCAAACTTCACACATACATCATACATTATATTATGCATATGTACATCATTTTGTTTTACGATCTGATTCATTTTTGTGCTAAAAATCCTAAAAATCAACCATTTCTCGGCTGTTTACAGATGGATTTTGTTCAAACTTGGTATATACATTAGACATTATGGGACCTTGATGCAAATAAATTCACTACGTTCAATTACCCACCATAGACTCTGGTCAGTCAAAATGACTATTTTGAACTGTAGGCATTAATCAGCGATTCTTGCCGGTGACGGAGAGATAGAATCCAGGTCAGGGGAAGCCCCATGACCTCAAGATTCTTTTACCCCTTACGTCACGAACCCACGTGACCGAGGCCAC